TCTCATTAAAAAAAAAAACAACTGATCTGGAGAACAGATCAAGAAGAGAAAATATAAAAATAATTAGACTGCCTGAAAGCTATGATAAAAAAAAAGAATCTTGATACAATAATACAAGAAATGATTAAAGAAAATTGTCCTGAAGCATTAGAACATGAGGGGATAGTGGAAAAGTAAAAAATCCACCATCACCACCAAAAAGAGATCCTACCAGGAAAACCTACGGGGTTATCATAATAAAATTCTGAAATACCTAGCTCAAGGATAAAATATCATAAGCAACAAGAAAAAAAAACTATTCAAATATGGTGGAGCCACAGTTAGAATCACACAGGACTTAGCAGTGGTGACAATAAAAGACCACAGATCTTTGAATACTATATATTGAAGAGTAAAAGAACTGGGGTTGTGGCCAAACACATCATACCTTGCTAAGCATAATTCTGAATGAAAAGAAAAATTTATATTCAATGAAATGCCAGACTTTCAAGATTTTGTTGCAAAAAAAAACTGAACTTAATAGAAAATACAACATACAAAAAAAGAGAAGTATAAGGTACACATCAAAGACTAATTACAAGGGACTCAATAAGGACAGACCATTTACTTTTTATATGAGAAAATGTAAAATGTATGTCTAAGAGTGTTATTAGTAATTGGGTAGTTCAAAAGAAAGGTGGGGGTAGACCTGAGTATGATGTGATTCTAAAAAGTAAAACTGTTCAGGTAAAAGCAAAAAAAGTAATTATGTTAAGCAAAAGAGGTGCTAGAAGAATAACTGACATAAAGGAGTTAGATGTAGGAGGAGGACTCGTAATTCTGGAGTCCTATTCTCGTTAGGAATGGGTTAAAGAGTGAACAATACATATACAGATAGGTGGGTATAAAAGTCTTCTAAATTCAGAAAGAAATAAAAGACTAAGGTGATAGCAAGTGAGGAGAGGATAAGAGAGGGATTTTTAGAGGGAACCCTATTCTCACCAGATCTGGATTAAAGGGAGAACAATATTTAGAATGCAATAAAAGTCTTCTAAATTCATAAAGGAACAAGGCTTAGGGAATAGGATAAGGGGAGGTATAGATTAACAGGAATGGGATAAAGAGAAAATAATATATATCTTTGGAAGGCTATAAAAGACTTCTAAATTCAGATAAGAAGGGTAAATTGAAAGGGTGGGGAAAGATAAGGGAGGGATTTTGGTGGGGTAGGTTAAGTAACAGGAGAGCAAGAAGTAAAGTTGAAGAGTCAGGAGGGATAGGAAATAAAAGATACATACAAACATAAAATAAAGATCAGGAGTAGAATTTTAGATAAAAAAATCTGGAGTAGTAATCATGATCTCAGACAAAGTTAAAGCTAAAATGGATTTAATCAAAAGAGCAAATAGGAAAACTATACTGTATGCCAGCCATATTAATCAACATTGTTTTTGACTATTTAAAATAACTAGACAGTATAAGGTGGGAATATTGCTGTAGTATAGGAAATGATGAGACTTAGAAAATATGGAAAGACTTAGATTTATAAAAGACGATATTATCCACCCTTAGAGAAACAAAGGACAAAAAAAGTACATTACAGTCTTATATAGATATATTTGAATGTGTATATATATATATATATATATATATATATATATACATATATATATAAAATGTGTGTATGATTATAGATTTCTAAGTATAAGTATGTGATGTGAGTATATGTATGTTTATGTATGTTTGTGTGTATGTATATAGGTGTGTATACACATATGTGTGCATGTGAATGTGTGTGTATGTATGTATGTACATAACTCCACATTTAATGACAGTCTTTTTGGGGATAGAAAGAGGTAAGGGGGTAAAACAAAGTAAAAGAGTGCACAGCAGTGATCAAAAGAAAACTTACAAGGAAGCAAAGAAAAGATGGACAGTTCTGAACACAATGTGTAGTTTTCATTATATAGTCTTTCTTGAAATAGAAATTTATAACTGCATATTTTGAATCCTCTCATTCTCTGCTGTGCACATGGCAATGTTTTTTTTTCTTATTTTTTATTTAAGTTTTAAATGAATTAATTTAAAAAATGAACATTTTGAGTTCAAGTCTTCCATCTAACACATATTGGTTGTGTGACCCTGGACAAGCCACTTGACTTCTCAGTATCCTCAGGCAATTCTTGAAGGCTATAAAGCAGAGTTTTTCCTAATATGCTTTGGTCCAGGAAGATTCCTCACCCAGGAACTCTTGCCAATTATTGTAACATAATAATAATAATTACTGTATTACTACCAATGTTAGTTATTAATTATGTATTGGTATTAAATAATAACAATAAACCCAGGTGTGGAAGCTCACATCTGAAAAAAACCCATGAAAAAAATCAGGATTCCCTCTAAACACATACAGATATTATAATAAATTCCCAATTATCCTGCAATGATGGACGAATGAAGGATATTCTGGATAATTGAGCTTCCCATGTAGTAGATGATTGAATATACCAATTCGTTTTTCTAAAAAGTAATTAATTTAGAAGGGAAAATTGCTATTTCCTTAGCAAAATACATATATTTGTAATTCAATTTTTCTGATGATGTAGTATTAGTATTATGAATATAACTTGCTATAGTGGAATTAACCTGTGACTACAGTGGTACATGTGTATTGTACGGGATATAGGGCTGACCGAATATGTTTACATACAAGTTTTCTGACTCCAAATCCATTGTTGAATTGGTTTGCGAGCCCAGTCCTGGTTTTTACTGCCTGTGTAACCCTAAGTAAGGCATTTCCCCTATCTAGGCCCTAATTTCTGCCTCTGTAGATGAGGGGGCTGGTCAAGATGGTGCCTAGTGTTCGCTCCATCTTTAAATCATGCATTGTATTTTGCCACGTCTTAAGTTCTCTGTCTTCTTTCAAGACACAACTCAAATCCCACCTTCCATAGGAGGCTTTTCCAGGTCACCCACAGCTACTCATGCTTCCTCCTTTCAACTTACCTTCACTTGTTTATACCTAGTATTTTCCTTGTTTACATGTCTCCTCCATCAGAATGGGGCAAGGAATTTTTTTTGCTTTCATTTTGTTTTTGCCTTTCTCTGTATCCTGTATCCAGAAATATGTGGTACAGTGCCTGACATATACTAAGTGCTTCATAAATGCTTGTTGACTGACTGACTGACTGAATAACTGACTGGCATTATGAAATACAAGACCTTCATGGAAGAAATGAGGATTGCCTTTCTGTAAAAAATTATTATTGGATCAAAGGCAAGAATAATCTTTATTTTTGGTAGTTTTCCTAGATGTAGAAAATCTCCACTGTCATTATCAGGGTCCTTTGCCTTGTCAGCAGCATTAAGAACATTTTTTTTGTTATCTCTGCATCAGTAACTTAATGTATCATAGTAGCACCATTCTTAGCTTTTGAGGTGACAAAGGCTCTGTGCTGTCTATGATGTCACTACTTTACTGACAGGGTCACCAGGACTCTCCAACTCTCCTTGGTGTCCCCTCTTCTTTTATTGATACCACTTCCCTCTAAAGTCATGGGATCATAGGATTTATATCTGCAAAGGACCTCTGAAATCATCCAAATGTGGGCTTCTTTATCACCCAACTTAAGCTGCAGGAGAGAATGACTTTCCTGTCTCCTTTGCCTTTCTCCTTGAAAACAGCCTAAAACTATTTAAGTGATTAAGCACTGCAGGGAAACATATGGAAGATTCAAATAACAAAGGAAAAAGTCACTAAATTGTTGGAGCCTTAAAAGTAGTTCATTCTAGTCCTATGTGAAAAGGTTTTCTCCTTTAAAAAAAATGCATAGGATTACAAAGGAAATAAATTACATCTGTATATTTAGACGCATATCTAAATGTGCGTGTGCATATATATACATATACATATATACACATATATATATATATACATATATACATATACATATACATATATTTATATACATATATTTATATACATATGCACATATACATATATACACGTATATGTATATATATGTATATATATACAAACAGATTTATAGCTCTTGGATTAAGAATAGCTTATCTTAATCTCTCTTTATTTCTACTTACAAGGCCACCATCTTAGTTATATGCTCTACTCACCTCTTGCCTGACTATTCAAATGCCTCATCATATCTTCCTGTAACCTTATCCCAAGGCATTATTCATATAACTAATGAAGTGATTTTTCTTTTGACTATGTCACTCTACTGATCAATAGACTTCAATGGCTCCCTATTGCTTTTAGGATCAAATATAATCTCCTCTATTCGAATTTTAAAGCCCTTTATAACCTGAACCTAAAATATCTTTCCATTATTATTCATTACTACTTTTCTTACACTTTGTGGTCAAGATGAACTGCCTTTTTGATTTCTTTTCTTCACACATGATACATTCATCTCCTTTGAAATGACTATCACCCTTACCTAGAAAGCACTCCCTCTCTTCCCTTATATAAATAAGTTCCATGGAGTAAGTTCAAATTTCAAGGAGAAAGTAGTAAAGCTTATGTTTATAAATGGCATGGGCAAATGGGCATTTCCCAACTCCTAGAATGGAAAGTGCTTTTCTACCTTTTGTGTTGTTGTTGTACAGTTGTTTCAGTTGTGTCCAACTCTTTGTGACCTTATTTGGGGTTTTCATGGCAAAGATACTGGAACAATTTGACATTTCCTTCTCCAGCTCATTTTACAGATGAGGACACTGCAGCAAACAAGGTGAAGTGACTTACCTGGAGTCACACAGCTAGTAGGTGTCTAAGGCCAGAATTGAACTCAGGAGGATGAGTCTTGACTTCAGGCCTGGCACTCTGTGCACTGTGCCCCCTAGTTGTCCCTCCCTTTTGAGAGTCCTTAGCAATTTCCCCTAAGGTACAACTCCTTGCTATACAGTAATTCCAAATGAGTTTAAAGGGTCAATACTTCCGCTGGACCCACAGTTTACATTTCTTGATGGATCGTGAGGAATCACTTACCCTGACATTGTTTTACCTTGGCTGGTTTTTGCTCCTTGTGCATCTATCCTTGATATATCTCTCTGCTCCAAGTATAGGCACTGCCACTCTTGTCATCAGCTATTATCACTCAAAGGGTTCCTCAGCCACCACTTCATAGGTCTGTCACTTCAGGTCATCTGGTCCCTGAGACATAACAGATATTCTTCCTGGACAATTCCATCTTGGGATGCTCATTTGCTTAAGGTCAGGAAAGGAAAAAATATAGCAAAGGAAATGGAGGAAACCATATATTCAAGGGTGGGGACCAGATGTTGGAAGGGAAGCCTTCTCCACAACCAGCCTTCTAGATAGCTAATAATTGTCAAGGGTTGTCAAAGGTCAGCTAAGAAGCAGAAGAGCTGGGACTAAAACCCAGGCCTAATTCCAAGTAAAGTGTTCCTTTGGCTCCACAGTATTTCCTCAGGAAGCTCAGGGTATATAGGTGTTTAAGGAGAACTAGCACCTTTGGAGTGAGGGCTTGCTGATCACTTACCAGGGCTAACATCCACCATTGGTGTCCACCTGGCATTCATCTCTCACCTATGGCTTCAAGAAGCTATACTCCACTAAAGCATTGAGGCAGATGGGCTAAACCAGGTTAAGGGTAACTAAGAAGCCTCAAACCTGTCAGTGAGTTAGGTCGTGTCTACCTCAAGCATGTAAAGATTTCCCTTGGAGGAATGGGCATATGAGTTCTAATGGCCATGAAGGAGGCTAAAGCAGGCATCATGGAGAGCTTAGAGCTTGGTCAGACATTGAAGATGTCAAGGTCATCCACTGCATCCTGGGCCACTGCTAGTCAATCTGACTTTTGTGTCGCCACTAGACTTTGGTAACTGAAAAGAGAAGGAGGCAGATGACTCTGCAACTCTGCCACACTTAAATCCCATTCACATTCAGTGATATAATTAGTCCTCTTTGAAAACAAAGAACAAACAAATTTCCTCAGGTCCACAATCACAAGCACTACTTCTGCTATATATCATCTCTTCTGTTCATTCTGTCTATTCTCTCCTATCTGCTTATCTCTTTGTTCCTTTTCTTTTTTTGGTCTCCCTTAATTTCTCTTTCTTTTACCTGTTGATCTGATGAATGGATCATTTATTTAAATCTGAAAAGGATTATTTGAGAGAAAATATTCAGCTGTCTCATTTTACAGATGAGGGAACTGAGATCCTAAAGCACTAACTGATATGCCCAATATCACACCAATAATAAGAATCAAAGTCAAGATCTCAATCCAGGTCAGCAGACTCAAAATCCACAGATTTTTTTTCATTATGCCTTACTGAATCTTAGCTTTGGTGCTGCTATAGCCTAAGATCTATTATAATTGACAACTAATGAGAACACATCCTTCCTTGTGGATGGCAAACTGGTCAATCATGTTAACGATCGTGGGGTTTGTGCGGGAGTGTTTTTGGCAAGTCTCATATCTGCATGCTGAGAATCTTTCATTTATCTTTATTTTTTTTAAGTGGTATCAAAAGAAAAATATAGTAGTTGGACTAGATGATCTCTAAGGCACCTTTGCACACTGGTTTCTGTGTTCTATAGTCCATACAGATGAATGAGGGTGCCAAAAGTCTGGATGTTTAGAAATGAGATATTACTATACATAATCTTTATAAAGAGGCTCCAAAATTTTAGATGAAACTGTGGCTGTATCTCCACTCTGAAAATGAAATAAATTGAGTCAATAATCAAAATCAAAACACTGAGAACTGAAGATACACACATATGTATATGTATATTTACACATACATAAAATATATACGTGTGTATATGTATGTAGAATAACAAAGTAAGAACACAGATTTTTGTTTTCACTTGAATTCATACAAAAAATTTCCTGAAGTCCATGTTGTACTTAGCACTACATAGCCTTTCAGGACAAAGAATCACACTAGACCCTGTCCTAAGATGATATCAGTCTTTGTTTTCTGATATATAAGAATTCAGAATACAAACCCAGAATTTGAGGCACTCAATATTTTTGAGCAAGTCACTAAAAGTCAGGATCATTTGGAGATAATGTTGACAATAGATTGAATTAATTCATTTTGCTTAAGGCATGTAATCAATCCTGAGAGGGCCTTCTGAATGTTTGGCAATGGCTGTGAGAGTAAAGATGAGCTTGATGACATGCCCTTAATGATACAGACATGATCTCATGGGGGTGCAACTTTCCTAAAGCCAACCAGAGAAGCTGGACAGAGCCCAGGAAAGGGTAATGAGCACATTTAGAGGAGCCAGGCTTGAGACAGTGAGAGAGGAACCAAATAAGCATTATTTATAATGGAAAGGAGGCAGGATAGAATCGTCTTGTGAGTACCATAGAATGAAGAGTATAATAATAATGATAATGATAATAAGAATAATAATAAGAATAATAATAGTCAGTCTGTTCTTTGTAGTAGGCTCCATAACAGGAACACAAGACACTATGAATCTAATTAGGAAAGGTCTGTTCTTGCCTCCTGTTCTTTATATGAAAAAGAACGCTCCCTTTCTGACCTCCAAGTATTTCTCCCTCTTAGCTTTAGGCCTCAGGAAGTTCACGGTCACAGAGAGATAATGTTCACTGAGATCACAGGCTGGAGCAGAAGGAAAGCTTTTAGATTACCTAGTCTAATCTCTTATTTTAGAAAATCAGAAACCTAGTACCAGAAGGGTTAAAATGACAGTTAGGAGTCAATAAAGGGCATGCTTTCTGGCTCCTAATCTGAAGCCCCAGTCTACTACAGTACCCAAATAAGTAGCTAATACCCCCAAAGTATTAAATATTTGGAACCTATCATGGGTAAGATTCTATATGCTACAATGCCATATAAGGGCACATGAACATTTGGTCACATTCAAAAACAAAGGTTTGGGAGGAAGTGTATTTCATATTCTGGTTGACTCCTGCTTCATTAGTATCCCTGCAATTGACACAAGGCCATGAGGAAGTGCCTACTCACTTTAGATTCATTTCCAATGGTGAATGTCTGAGGACAGGCAAAAGAATAACACAAGATTGGTGGGGATGAATGGGTTTGAGAAACATATTATTGTAGGGCATGCCCACATCAAGGAGATTACAGATGTATTGGCAACTTTAAGTGTTAGACTTGTTCTATGTTGCTTTTTAAAAAACTTTATTTTCCCTTACCATCAAGAACATTTGTGACTATCTAAGCCAGGATAAGTTTAATCAAAAATACTTTGAAAGTAAATTGACTTCTGTTTGTGTGTATTTGGGAATAAACATCTACAAGCCTGTGACTAGGGAAGGAAGTAGTGCTCAGTGCCTTAGGGCACATGTTCTCTCTATCCTCTATTAAACACAAAGCCTTGGTTGCTGCCAGAGGCGAGATGCTGGTCTAAGAATTGATCAGGGCTCTAATTCCATTTGTCAACTCCTATGCCCATAAATTTTGGAGCTTGAGATGAGGCCAGTTTTCTAATAAGAAATTGAAAAAGCCAGGGCCATAAAACTACCATGGGTGAATCATTCCAAGATAGAAGATGAGGTGAAAAGTTTGTGAAAAAGAAAGGGCTGGAGAGAGGGAAAGTAAAGCATTTTCATCTGATCCCTCTTTGAAAGGGATACATTGGGGTTTTTGAAAAGCAGGACAACAGCTTCTTTGAGGGCTACTAAGCACAATTCCTGAATGTTTAATAAATTTTTATTGAGTTGAATTAATAGAGATAGAATAAAAGCAAAAGGAGAGAAGGATGAAGATGTGGAGAAAATGATAGGAGGTAAATATCTGCCACTGAGCATAGTAAATCAGAAGTATGCTTTCAAATCTCATTATTGTTGTTCAGTTGTGTTTGACTTTTTGTGATCACTTGGACCATACAACACAATACTGTCTATGGGGTTTTCTTGGTAAAGATATTGGGTTGGTTTGCTATTTCCTTCTCCAGTGGATTAAGGCAAACAGAGTTCAAGTGACTTGCCCTGGGTCACACAGCTAGTAAGTGTCTGAGACTGGATTTTAACTCAAATCTTCCTGACTCCACTGAGTCATCTAGCTGCCTCTAGATTCAACCTAGGTGTTATCTCATCCCTGAGATATAATAGAGAATCATGATATTAATATCTGACATTTACAGGGTTTTAAGATTTGTAAGGTATTCTTCATTCATTATCTCACTTGAAGTTTCCAGTGACCCCCAAATTCCAACAATTCTAATGAACAGTATTTCCCAGCTATTAACTTTATAATCCTTATACACAGGTTCTGGGAAACAGGGCACTTCAGTCATCTACACCCTGACATAATGCCTTACTGATTATGTTATGTTAGCCCTTCCCAAATCATGCTGATGGGTTTCTTTAGGGTAGAAACTATGTGAGCTTTTAAAAATAACTTTAAGGGTCCCTTTGCAGGATTTCACTTGTCGAGGAACTATTGCCCCTTGGCATTTAGCGGCCAGCCCCTATTTCATAATTGTTGGAATTTAGAGGTATCTACTTATTTGGTATAATACAATCCCTCCATAAAATTGGAGTGTATGGGGTGTTCAGGGTAGACTAACACCTCTAGTGTGAGAGCTTGCTGAGTCCTTTTCAGGGCTTCTCATCCATCTTTGGTGTCCAGCTATTATTAACCTCTTAACTGTGGTTCCAAGAAGTGGTAGCAGGCAACAACAGCTGTACCCTGATAAACCACTGAGGCAGATGGGCTAATTCAGTTTGAGGGTGACCAACAGGCTTCAAATCCTTTGGTGAGTTAGGGGGGTCACTAGGCAGAATGGGTGGAGGAGGACAATTTGTTCTAACAGCCGTGAAGGTGGCTGAAGCAGGCTCTTGAGCCTGGTCAGATATCAAAGACATCAAGGTCAACCACAGCATGCCAGGTCATCACCAGGTTTCTAGACTTTTGTTTTGCCACTGGTGTTTGATGACTCTGGAAGAGAGAATGAAGCTGATGCTTTATGCAACTCTACCTCACTTAAATCCAATTCACACACAAGTCAAGACATCACTCTATGATGTTGTTAATCCTCTTTGAAAATGAAGGACAAACAATAATAACAGAATCATTTAAAACAGATACCATTCTGGCCCCCCATGGTAGCTCATGGCCTAAATGAGAAACACCAAGACAGTCTCATAGGTGAAGAACATAGAGATAATCACAGAATAGCTCTGTGTAAAGAAATTTTAGGAAAAGGTGTCATGAATGATGAATCAAACGATCAAAAAGCATTTATTATGCTACAGATACCATTTATCTTCACTTAGACCAAGTTTTGAGTCCTACTGGTTTCATCATTGTTTTTGACACTTCGTTTTTCCTTTCTACTTTCCTGACTTCCCCTAATCCCAACTATCTTTATTTGATTTTCTCAGTGAATCCTACTCTAATAGACTTAGCTTGTCCTTGCGCTTGGTTTCTGCTTTGCCTGCCCCCTTGTATTCGATCCATTCTTTCAGTTACCTTCCTGGTTCATTGATGCCTCATTGATCTCTCATTGATGTTGCAGCAGAAATTACTTTCCCAAAGGAACTACTGCCTAGCCACAGACCCTGGATATTAAATCCATACTGAATGTCTTCCCTAATAATAATTGCTAACATTTATAAAGTGCCTACTATGTGCCAGACACTGTGCTAAGCCCTTTTTCTTCTTCCTTTTTTTTTCCAAATATTATCTCATGTGATCTTCATGAATTATTGGGGTTCCAACATGAGTGCCAACGAAATTAGTGAAAGAAGAAAAGTCATAGCCTTGCTTCCACTGAGTTTGGAGAATATCCAGAAGAGAAAAGTTTTATTTATTTTTGATACTTAATTAAGTACTTAACTAAGATAGAAAGGGATTATGATCTGCCTCAGTGGAGGGAATAGCTACACAGATAAAATCACAGATCCCCGAAGTATTACACACTTAATTTTAAACAACAAAACCAATTACGCATACATTCATTACTATTTACATCTTTAAAATGAATTTCAGTGTAAAAATGCCCATAATATATGTAAAGTGCTTTACAACACTTAAGATGCCATATAAATTCTATTATTAGTATTAGTTGCTGCTGCTATGTCCCTTTCCACTCCCTTTGTTTGTCTGTTCACATCTGCATCCATATATGCATTGTTCCTTTTATAGAGAAAATCAGTGTATATCTTATTCTTTAGGTTCTGTTTTCTTTCCTGTGCACTACTTCAGATTAGTCTTTCCAAATGTCTTTTTATTCCTCAAATCTATCATTTTAAATTGCATTAGCACACTCTATTGCATTGATGTAACACAGTTTATTAAGCCATTTACCAACTGTTGGTCAATTAGGTTGTTTCCAGTTCTTAACAATTACAAATAATGGCTACATATTCACATGATATCACGTTTAGGGCGTTCTCAACACAGGTTTATGGAGCCAAAAGGTATAATTATTTTTGTGGTTTTTTTTCAAATGTAACCTCATCAACTTTTTATTATGTATATACACGTACTATTGTATGTAAAACACTACAGGTGCTTAGGGAGATACAATATATATATAACATGATCCCTTCTCTCATGGAGCCACAGAGTAATATGAGCGGATCAAAGGATTGGAAAGGTCATTCAGGCAATGGCATATGGAAACCGTTGAAACAGTTCAGGTAGGTAGAATTCCAAAATTTGAGACTTGGGAAATGGCAAATTTCAAAAGACTGTTAAGTACAACCATGTCTTTGTAAAATTGAAGTACGGTGAGGATAAATGTTGCTGGGATTGAGTAGTTTGAGGAATGATGTGATTGAACTGTTAGAGGGGTAGTCAACATGCATGTTAAAGTCTCTGAAAATGGTGGGGAGGGGTGAGATAGAAAGGAAAACTGTGACAATGGTAAAGTGGTTGAGAAAGCTGAGAAAGCGAACAGAAGGTTGAAAGACAAAGAGAACAAATATGAGGAGTATATGGTATTAACTCTTAATATGTCCTTCCAGATAGCTAGAAAGGGATTTTAGCAAATGTCAAACATACAAGTCATAGTAGGTTGCAGAGGTATCAAGAATACTAATAGCATTTCATTAATGATTAGCAAGTGGAACTCTAAACAAAAAGAAGAAGAAAATTGCATCTACTCTATAGCCCAAGTGATGCCAATAGGACAGAAATCTGAATTCCTGTGATCCCTTCATATGACCTTAAACTATGCAGCAGAAGAGAAATTGATTCAGTATTGGTTCAGACCAGGCAGGGACTCAACTCAGCCCAATTCAACAAATATTTATTAGGTGGCTACTGTGTGCAAAGCACTGTTACATGATAGGAAATAGAAAGAACAAAAAAGCAAGCATCCCTGACCTCAAGGAGCTTACATTCTATTGGGATAGAAAGCCAAAAAAAGAGACACTAGATATTCCACTTTCCCATTATTTATTCTATTCTGTAAGCACCTTTCCTCCCCAGTTCTTATACATGAATCAGAAACAATCTTTCCTGTGGAAGACAGAGTTGAGGTAGTATATACATTTGGACAATGGGCTACTTTAAGCCTAATTATGTAGTTTTGGAATGTTTTCCAACTGTGCTTAATACTTTATTCTAGTACATCCCACCTTGGCAAAGATTTACCTTAGAAACATGCCTGGATGAGAACAATTTAAAACAAGGGAGCTTCTAAGCACTTACTCTAACTTACCTATCCTCCATATGCAACTGAGAAAGGCTCATATCTTCTGGGAGTCTTGTCCCATTCCCCCTTGTGGGCATTAATCATCCTGCTGTTCAATCTGTGGAGTGCAAACATGTACACTGAGTTTCAGAAAGATACCATTGGGAAATAGCCTGAATTCAGTGCTGTGAATAGCAACAGTAGAATAGTTGGTAGGATGCCTCCACCTTAGGGTAGTGAAAAAGAGTTATAAGAACTGTCAGAAAGAACCAGAAATCGCCAGATTTGTGCACCACCTTCCCATTCTTGGCCTCTTGATTTCTGGGACTATTATTATTATTATTATTATTATTATTATTATTATTATTATTATTATTATTATTATTACTAGTCTATTCCCAGTGAAGCAAAAATAGAAAAGGCATATCACTGTACTGAGCTTCCAGTACATAATAAAATTTCCTCAGAGGATAATTTAAAAGGCTTTAAGTTTCAAACTTTAACAAAAACCCAGAGATTTAGTATTAACAAACAGAAATTTAAGATGACAGTGTGATGTCCAAAGGGTTAGATCACTGTCTAAATCACCAAGTAAATCCTTGGAGATCTGGTGCATAGCATAGCGTAAGGATTTTCAAAATTTTTGAAGTCATGTAACCTTAATGTAAAAAGTATAGCATAAAAGATCAACATGCCACCCATCTGTAACCTAATAGATAACTTTTAGAGTTTCTCTGGGCCTGAGAATTTATATAACCCACAACCATGCAGTCAATAAATATTAGAGGTAGTATTTGAACCCATGTACTCCTGCTTCCAGATCCCAAACTTTCTGTACCTTGGAGTTCCTATGGAGTTGGTCATGGTGGCACATGTCTGTAATCCACAGCTACTGAGAAGGCTGAGGCTGGAGATGAGTTGATCTCAGTTGTGATAAACTGTAGCTGTTATTGTTCAGTTGTTTCAGTCATGTCCAACTCTTTGTGACCTCATTTCAGGTTTTCTTAGCAAAGACAGTGGAGTGGTTTGCCAGTCTCTTCTCCAGTTCATTTTATAGATGAGGAACTAAGGCAAATAGGGTTAAGGGACTTGCTCCAGGTCCTACAGCTAAGTGTCTGAGGCCAGATTTGAACTCAAGAAAATGAGTCTTCCTGACTCCAGGCCCGGCACTCTATCCACTGTGCCAGCTAGCTGCTCCAAATGGAACTGTACCAGGCTAAGCCAATTTCATATTCATACTAAATCCACCATTAACATGATAAGTACCCAGATTGCTGAAAGAAGAAGGGATGGACAGACAAGCCCAGGTCAGAAAAATGGAACAGGATAAAACTCTTATGCTGATCAGGAAAAGAATCAAGCCCAGGAAAGGCCACTGTGAACCTGGATGACATAGAAAGACCAAGTGAAAAAAAAAAAGACGAAAAAATTAAAAGTTCTGCTTCTCATAACCTGAAAGGTAAAATGGTATTAAAGTATAATCTAAATCCATATGCAGTCATCAGTGTTAACGAGAATCACATTAAGTATTAATATAAATAAGAATAATGAAGGAGGTAGAAAAGAAAATTAGGGTGGTGTGGTTGGGGATGGACATTTAAAAGGTTTTTTGATAATATTTTTTTTCCATTTTATGGTGTGCCTTATCTGAGTCACAATAAAACAATTGACAGATGAAATATATATTTTCCCTGTCTATGTAGCAACATTTCATAGTTATCATAGAATATTAGGATTAGAAGGTATCTTAGTAATCATCTACTCAAATTCCCACTTGTACTATTTGAGAAAAAACACCTCACTGCAAGGTCTAAAAATGATGGTGTAACTTGATGATAGAAGTATAAATAGATAGATAGAGTAGATAAAGAGATAGAAAGAACGAAAATGCTGAAATGATATTCTTAAGGAAACAAAATGTCAAGAAGCTTTCACAAGAAGCTGGAAATCCATCTTCACTTATAAAATATACCACAGAATCATATCATTTCTATGGAATCCTAGGTCTTAAAAAGCAATTTGAAAAAAAAAAAGGTAGATGGAATCCCTTTAAGGGTTGGAATGATCAAACAAATTAAAACATTCAAAACTGCCCTACCTAAGAACATGAAGTTTTGTGTCTTAAGACAACCTGGAAACAAAGTTTTCTGTAAATAAGAAATACATAGAGAAGGACATAGAGTTTTCAGGATTTCATTTTTAATTCGAATTACTAATTTAATACATGGAGGATATAAGTTTAAAGGGTAAGAAATCCTAATCTAGAATCTTAGTTTTGAAGAATTAACATTCATTCCTTCACTATTGCATTCATTGGTTAACTCAATAAATATTTCTAATCCACCTATTGTGTGCTTACTGTTTATGGAGAATATTCTTATTTAATATATTAAGGTAAACAACAATGTAAAATGATAACATTTAATGTGGCATTAATCTAATTCCCTTGGTACTCAATCCCCTGTAGATGAGGAGATTTATAAAATACTTCACAGGCTGGAAATAGCATAAACACTAGCTAAGAATTGTGGGAAATGCAGTTCAGTGGCTCAACAGAACTTCTGTGTGGTTGAAATAGCATTATGTGACCTGAGAGCTTTGAAAAGGGTTGCAAAGGAGGTTACAGCAGAAGAAGAGCAGAAAGAGGAACCACATTAGCTGAAGTATGATGGTGTCCAGGATACATAGGCTCCAGAAGCATAGACAGCATCTTCTTTGAGGAATGAGAAAACAGGTAGGATGGCAATAACTGGAACGGAAGATAACCTCTATCATTAATGACTACTCTCCTGCCCAAGATTCTAGGCAGTAGTTGGAATATTCCCTATGGTTTTTTTTTAATAATATTTATTTTTTCCCAATTACATGTCAAGACAATTTTTAGCATTTATGTTTACAAGATTTTGAGATAGAAACTTTTCTCCTTCCCTCTTCCTTCCTCTCCTCCTAAAATGGTAGGTTATTTGATATAGGTTTTACATATTCTATCATGTAAAACATATTACCATATTACTCACAGTTGAGAAAGAAGAAAAATCAAAAGAAAAAAACATGAAAAAGAATAAAGTAAAAAAAATATGCCTCAGTCTGCATTCAGAGTCTGTCAGTTCATTATCTGGATGTGGATAATATTTTCTCTCATGAGTCCTTTGTACTTGTCTTGGGTCACTACATTGCTGAGAAGAGCTGAGTCATTCATAGGTGATCATCACAAAATGTTGCTGATACTGATACAATGTTTTCCTGGTTCTACTCATTTTGCTTTGCATCAGTTCATGCAAGTCTTTCCAGGTTTTTCTGAAATCTGCCTGTTTGTCATTTCTTATTGCACAATAGTATCCCATTACATTCATGTATCACAGCTTGTTTAACCATTCCCCAATTGATGGGCATCCTCTCAATGTCCAATATTTTGAAAACACAGAAAGGGCTGCTATAAATTTTCCCTTTTTTATTATCTCTTTGGGCTACAGACGTAGTAGTGGTATTGTTGGATCAGAGAACATGCACAATTTGGTTGCCCTTTGGGCATAGTTTCAAATTGCTCTCCAGAATGGTTGGATCGGTCACAACTTCACCAGCAATGCATTATTGTCACAATTTTCCCATATCCTCTCTAAAATTTATCATTTTCCTTTTTTGTCATATTAGCCAATCTGCTAGGTGTGAGGTGGTACCACAGAGTTGTTTTAATTTGCATTTCTCTAATCAAAAGTGATTTTAGAGCACTTCTTCATATGCCTATAGAGAGTTTTGATTTCTTTATCTGAAAACTGTCTGTGCATATCCTTTTACCATTTATCAGTTGGTAAATAGCTTTTTAAAAAATTTAATTGAGTTCTATATATATCTGAGAAATGAAGTCTTTATCAGAGGCATTTGCTGTGAAGACTGTTTCACAGCTTTCTGCCTTCCTTCTAACTTTCTTGGTTGCATTAGTTTTTGTGCAAAAACTTCTTAATTAAATATAATCAAAATTATGTATTTTACATTTCATAATGCTGTCTATGTCTTGTTTTGTCATGCACATGTAACTCATTTCTCATTTGAGATTTTGGTTGCTATACCACTTACTGCATATATTTTTAGTATTGATATTACTTCTTTGTCTATGGTACCTTTTAGCAAGATGTAGTTTCTTTCCTTATCTCTTTTAATAAGGTCTATTTATTAGTTCTGAGATGAGGATTGTTACCCCTCTTTTTTTTTCACTTCAGCTGAAGCATAATAGATTCTGCTGCAGTCCTTACCTTTACTTTGTGTGTATCTCTGTGCTTCAACTGCATTTCTTTTAAAAAACATATTGTAGGATTCTGGTTTTTGATCCACTCCACTACCTATTTCCATTTAATGGGAGAGTTTATCCCATTCGCATTCATAGTTATGATTACTAACTGTGTAGTAACCTCCATCCTATTTTTCCTCTTGTTTGTGCTGTCTCTCTCCCTCTCTCTCCACCTTTTCTCTCCTCAACAGCGTTTTTCTTCTGTCTACCGTCTCCCTTGACTTGCCCTCTCTTCTGTCAGCCCCTCCCCCCACTTAATCTCCTCCCCTTCTACTTTCCTGTCAGGTAAGATAGATTTCTATATTCAACTGATTGTGTCATTTTTCAGCCAATACTGATGCAAGTAAGGTTCAAGCGATACCCATTACCCACCCTCCTATCTTTTCCTATACTGTAACAGGCTTTTTTGTGCCTATTCATGTGAAATAATTTACCCCATTCTACCTCTTCCTTCCTTCTATACCCAGTGTACTCCTCTTTCTTATCCCTTAATTATTTTTTATGACATTCCCTGCAATTCACTTTACACCCGTACCCTCTGTCTATGTGAATTCCTTCTAGCTGCACTATTCGTGGTACAATTTTTAAGAATTACAAATATCAGCTTCCCATGTAGGGATGTAGGCAGTTCAGCTCCACTGAATCTCTTATATTTTCTTTTCCCTTTTTAGACTTCTCTTGGGTCTTAGTATTGGAGATCAAAATTTTTGTTCAGTTCTGGTCTTCTCCTTATGAAAACTTGAAATCCTTCTATTTCATTGAATAACCACTTTTTTTCCCTTGAAGTATTATGTTTAATTTTGCTGGGTAGGTGATACTTGGTTGTAGTCATAGCTCCTTTTTCTTCTGGAATATCATGTTTCATGATCTCTGATCCTCTAATGTTGCAGCTGCTAAATACTGGGTAATCATGACAGTGGCTCCCCCATATTTGAATTATTTCTTTCTGTCTACTTGCAACATTTTTTCCTTGACCTGATAATTCTGTAATTTAGCTATAATATTCCTTCGAGGTTTTGTTTTTGGATCTCTTTCCTGAGGTAATTGGTGGATTCTTTCAATGTCTCTTTTGCCCTCTGATTTCAGGATATCAAGGCAGTTTTCCTTGATCATTTCTTGAAAGATGCTATCTGGGGCCTCCTTTTGATTATGGCTTTCAAGTAGTCCAATTATTCTTATACTGTCTCTCCTGAATCTATTTTCCAGGTCAGTTGCTTTTCCAGTGAAGTACTTTAAATTTTCTTCTATTTTTTTCCATTCTTTCAAAATTTTTTGATTCATCACTAGCTTCCATTTGCCAATTCTAACTTGTAAGGAGTTGTTTTCCTTATTTGGCTTTTGCACTTTCTTTTCTATTTGGCTGATTGCACTTTTTAAGGAGTTATTTTCTTTTTCCAAGCTGTTGACTCTTTACTTTTATAATTCTCTTATACTACTCACATTTCTTTTCCCAATTTTTCTTCTACCTCTTTTATATGATTTTAAAGCTCCTTTTTGAGCTCTTCCATAAGTTCTTTCTGAGCTTTGCCTTTGCTTTTGTTTTTGTTTTTCCATTTCCCTGGGACTACACTGAAGCACCTGGTGGACTGGCCAGTGAAGGTTGCCTGTTCCCCTGGGGCTTTGCTAA